GATTGTGTATCGCTTTTCGTTTATAAGAATTACTGTTCAGCTCTCCAAGAACCATAGTCGTTCAGATCAGCGAAAATTTGTTTAGTTGCTGCGATGATATAATCCAGCAATTTTAGTATATAAGTACCTAATTCGTTTTCTGACATTCTGTAACAAATCTTAAAAAGAAAGGATTTCTCTCAAGAAACTTAGCTCGGGAGTTATATGCCCATTACCAGCGAACTAAGCAGAATATATAGTTATTGCGGATTATTTAATGTTATTGTGAAACGAAATGCAAGAGATTATTTTCTAAAGCGGCTGCTATCATAAACGAGCGAATAACTAGAATCAGTAAAAAGCACCTGCCAACAATTTTATTCTTAAATGTTAATTCATTTTTAAATGAAAATTTTCGCATATAAACCGTATATTTTATTTAATCACTCTAGTTTATTATCAGTTTTTTTTGTTCTTTAAGTAGTTACTTCTGACCCATGTTCTGTTTTTGATTTTAGAATATTTTATTTTAAGTTTACCAATATTCAGAATTATGTCTTTAATAAAGGAAATCATTATATATCATCACTATTTCTACTATCATCATCATTCTACATTTTTAATGAAAAATTTAAAATGTAACACGTTCCTTTTGAACCGCATTTTGAAACCTATTACCGAGGTGAAACTGGAACGTTGTAACCTGAAAAATAACCGTTTATCACACCTCTAGTTTATAAGTAGGTAGGTACTTATGAAAGCTGCTTTGCCCGCTCGTTAATCAATTTGATATGTATGAGTTGCATCAACAACAAAATAACAGGGAAACGGTAGCCATGAATGAATGTATTTAGTGTAATACTTGTTTAGTGTGCAATAAGCGACTAGCAAATGTCACTAAATTAACAGTGTTCTTTATCTGATTGCATATGGCGAAAGCTAGTAACCATCCCCAGGAGCAAAATGGGCCAGAAAATATCAATTTTATGGGTGTTTCCTTCAGAAAATACCCATTTGATTATTTTACGTCCCCTCGGCTCCTTGAGAAATGGTTAGAAGCTTCGACCATATGCAATCAGAAAACGAACACTCAGATCGGTTGAGCCGGCTCATTATTCCTCCTAGGCGAACAAATACTCTTCACATAACCGCAATTGAAGAACGCTTTTTAATTCGGTCTGGAAGAATATGAGGGTGTTCATTTCGCCAGAGACATGTTTTTTTTTGTGATTACATATGACCGAAGCTGATAACCATCCCTCCAGGAGAAAAAAGGGACAGAAAATATCCATCAAATGGGTGTCTTCTGAAGGAAACGCCCAGGAAATTGTTATTTTCTGTTGTCCTTGTGGAGAGAGGGAGATAGAGAGATATATATAGAGATGGAGAGATATATATAGCGATAGAGATATATATAGATAGATAGATATAGATATAGATATAGATATAGATATATAGGTAGATAG